AGAGAGAGAGAGAGAGAGAGAGAGAGAGAGAGAGAGAGAGAGAGAGAGAGAGAGACTGACTTCCACATTTTATACCGTGGTCCCTACCAGCAATTGTTTGAGGTTTTTCAACCTTCAGCCCTACGCTGAGAGAAGCAAAAGACTTCGATGGCGAGCCGCAGTCCAAAGACCCCCGTCGCCCTGAGCTCACGCCGCCCTTCTCCGCGGGTGAAGGACACATTTCCCTCGCTCCCCCCACTCCCCCCCCCGCAACCCCGTCGTGATCTCAGGGTGGGATGAATTCAGCTCAGCACCCCGGAGGTCGTCGGCAGGGCTGGATCTGGCTACCATTGTTACGCATGTGCCGGCGCGCCTGCTTTCTTCCACGGTTCTGTTGCTATAGGAGCTCCTGGCTAACAATCTCGTTTTCGCCTGAATCCTCCTGGTTGCGTGGCTCCGGTTGTTCCCGCTGCCGGCGCCGGGAAACAGCCTTGGCTCTCCAAGCCGCAGCCCGCGTGGGGTCTTTGGAAGAAGTCATGCGCTACGGCGAGTCGTCCTGCTCTCCCGGAGCATCGGCAAGGTTGCAGGTAAGCTGGCTTGGGAGCAGGTTGAACGAAATGCAAGAGGAGAAAGAGGAGGACAACAAAACGGGGAAACAATGGCCGTTAAACTTAGATGATGTCATCCAACCTTCTCCAACAGGACGCCTCCTGAGGTGTCTGGACAACGTCTTGACATCAGGTGGGGATGAGGAGACCATCAAGTGGGTGCTAACCCGTAGATGTGTCTGCGAATGTCTCCTCTATTGCTGAAGGATTGATTTTGGTACATAGCTTTTGTATGGAAAAAACTGGGTTCAGATAGTGGATAGCAATTAATCAGTGGAACGGCCTGCCTCCAGAAGTTGTGGATGCTCCAACTCTGGAAGCTTTAAAGAAGAGATTGGACAAGCATTTGTCTGAAATGATATTGGGTTCCCTGCTTAAGCAGGGAGTTTAACAGATTAACAAAGTTGGAAGGGACCTTGTAGGTCATCTAGTCCAACCCCCTCTCCTGCCCAAGCAGGAGACCCTACACCGTTTCTGACAGATGGCAATCCAGTCTCTTCTTAAAAGCTTCCAGTGATGAAGCTCCCACAACTTCTGAAAGCAAAGCTGTTCCACTGGTTGATTGCTCTCACTGTAAAAAAAATAAAAATCTCCTTATTTCCAGGTTGAATCTCTCCTTGATCAGCTTCCATCCATTATTCCTTATCTGGCCTTTGGGTGCTTGGACTAGAAGACTTCCAAGGTCCCTTCCAACTTTGTTATTCTGTGCTCTGTATTCAGCTAGTTCACAAAAACACATCCTGCTTCATCCTTTTAAAATCTCCCAAGGTCCTACTCAGTTTTCTGATACAAGATGGAAATGTGGACAAAGGCAGGCATTCTCGGGCATTGTTGTACGAACAGGCCTGCCTTGCACAGCAACATGTGTCAACATGAAATGTTTACGATGCTTGCCCCATCTTAGGAAAGCTTTGTTTACGATGTTGGACTTTTAAACAAGCTTGCTTTGTGGGTTGAGTTGACGTGCCTGGGATGAATGGGTGTGTATGCATCTGAATTTATTTAGATGCCTTTGTTTTGTTTCCCTGGGTTCTAAGTTGTGGAATGGCAAAAAGGCTTTGGAATCTCCAGAGCTGCATTCTACATTCCATTTATTTGGAACTGTTGAAGGCAGCATGACAGCAGTCATTGAAAATAATGTGATTACATTATTTGTTACCGAGTAGCTTGATCAGTTGTCTCAGATCACTTATTTCCTAATGTAGCTAGGAAATGAAAGACTAAGGGACAGACTGAATCTTTTTTCCAGAAGTG